ATGTGGCTATTGGAGCAAGTGGCCGCTTACTCTACCAGTTCCGGCAGGTCCAAGTACTACTAACGCGAGAGATGCATTGAAGCAATGGATCGACGAGTTATTCACCAGAGGCTTGGAGGAGCTGCACAAGTACAAGGCTATCGTGACCACTCACCATCGAAAATGGCCTGAGTCATGTCGCCACTACTACAACCCTGTAGGAGTTTGACTGTGCTATTCTCCGTGGCTTAGGAGCTAAATTGGGTATGGCTCCACGTGTTTCTTTCGCCAATTCTTTCTTCATGATGTCGAGTGAGCGGCCACCCGATGTGAACGCTCCATTGTGCTGCTACTGCCAAGGATCAACCTTCTACACGTACGAGACGAAACGATACACCTACGGAGCTATGGATGGCAAGGTGGAGCGCCAGTCGAATTTCGTGTCGCGTTCCAGCCATCTCGTGTGGATGAATTCGTACTATTTCGCAGAGTTGGAGGGGCTCGCTTCGTTCAAGTCGAATACTTTCCGACTGATCAATGTGGATACCTTTACTCTCCCTTAGTGCATTGTAGCCAACGACGTGGTGAAACCTCACGGTTTGCTTGGCAAAGGATACAAAGAAATGGTGAAGATCGCTATCGTTGATACTTGATGTGGACACTTCAGCATATGAAGAACGAGCTGTGAATGCCGACGGCTGCTCCTAAAAAGCAGGTCTTGAGTATCCCAAATCTCCCAGCTTGCTTTGTGTCGGACTGCATCGATTTCAGTCACATTTTGATGTATTCCGAAGCAAATCAGCTGTTGGTGATGCAAAATAAAAGCAGTCGTGAAGCTCCACGCACCGAACGGGACTCCGTGCATCCTCTGGCTACAAATTAGACCATTTCATTCACCCCAAAGTGCGACGAGCTAGGGCCGGGGGAGAAAGCACTTATCCGAGTCAGTATCCATGCTGGAGGCAGTGTGTTTGTGATGAACCATGACGTGGTTTGTATGATCACATACAGAGATGAACAAAAGAACAGTACCAACAACAACGCTTCCAGTCGGACCCGAAGTAGACAGCAATCGAGTCACTCTTCAACCGTTCGTCGCTCTTCCAGCATGCAACAATCAATGGCAACGCAAGACGCGGTAATTGACAAACACATCAGTGCTGTCGCCACGCCAGACACCCACACCAGCACGGAAATTGCTCACTCAATCCAAACGTAATGTGTCTCTAGGGATGTCGAGTAGTGGCAGCCGTCAGATCGACGCTATAGCAGCTCTGGAGCCCAAGCCTCTCTTCATTCGGATCTGTGCGCACGTACTGGCTCCAGACGTCTTGAAGAGGATATATTCACGCGAAAAATTCAACAAGTTACCACTTCCGATGACGAACGAGATATCACGTTTGTTGCCAGTAACTTCGATGGTCAGATATGTGAAGATACATGAAAGAATCAGCGAGTCCTGCAAGCCTTTAGGACCACCACTGAGACTGCCGGCTTTCTTCTCCTTCATGCCGACACGCAAGAAAGAATCAAAGAGTTAAACCTCGCAGAATAAGCTCTCGTGTTGCTGCAATCCCCACTGATCTTCTCTTAGACGGAGTTTCTTACCGCGATTCCCACAACCAAAAATAGCAATTTATACTTCAATAACCACCATTAGTGCTATCGTGGAAGCT